TCCGCCCCCTCGGTGTACGCGGTGCGAATAATAATCCGTGCTCGCGAACGCGAGCAACCGACGCACATTTGTGCGGCCATTATCGCCATTGTCGGGGGTCCTCCTGGGATAACGCGGCGTCCAAATAACCGTTTTTATTGTTACTTGTTATTAAATTTTCAACGGTCTGTCTGCAACGTGCGGGCGCGTGTACACGACGCGAACACCTCGTTATCTCCGGTAAGCGAAATAAAGCCTCTCTCCCTCCCGCGCTTCGCGCATACGTGTGCAGATAATAATTATAATTATCATAGTGTGCGACGCACACGTAACGTTCGTTAATTTGCCCGTTGAATGAACCGAGCGCCTGAAAAAAGGGGTCTCGCACCCCCGTGAAATTTCAGCATTTACCTCCTGTCTTCGTACGGGCATTAAATTATACGTTCAATGTTACGAATGTTAAAATATTGATGTAAAAGCGCAAAGCGCGGAGGCAGATTTTTTTCCCTGGAATTTATGCAACATATTGCCGCGAGACGACGCGATGCACAACATCCCTCGATAATGCAAAATTGTCGACCGCCGGTCTAATTGCGATAATCGCGCGCATTCCTATATTTCTCGCGGCGATATCAGCGCGGATCGCTCGGTCTGGTACAAGCCGATCCGGCGTGCGCGATAAATCTCGCGCGTTAATAATTTGCGCGCACGCAAGGCGAGCGCGCCAGGAGGAATTATTTGCCGCTCTCGACACTCGACGGTCGAGGGGAAAACTCGGTCGAGTCGTATTATCCGATCAGCGGAAGATCTGAAGGAGAGGCGAGCAACCGGCGCGGAAACTCTCTTTATGCGCGGGAAAGACTTTTCCGTTTCGCAGCCCGTTAACTCGGCAGAGGAGGGAGAGTGAGGAGGTTTAGACGAAATCACTTCCACGTCATTTTGGCAACCCGCCTTTTATTTCGCGGTTGTTTTTCCCCGGCGAGATAAACAGATTGAGCAATTCATTTGAATATTCTGCAGGGAATGTATGCAGCTGCTTGCGCGCGGGGACGCGAAACGCGAAAAATTTCGTTTATCTCTACTCGGTACGAAAGCGAAATATTTTCTTTCGAAATAAAATATCTCGCTCCTGCGAGTTTTTGCAAACTGAAACGCATATTGCGTTAAAGCCCCTACCTTCAGATGCTCTCTTTTTCTTCACAGAAAAAGATATACTAGAGATAATAAATTCTAAAAAAATTGTAAATACTACATTATATTTTTTTTAAATAACTTCCCTCAAAATGAACCGCACGTATAAATATGTTATTTTAATCTCATCCATAAGTCATTTTAAAACCATTAAATAATTTTTTAATTGAAAAACTTTAAGAATGTACTTATTTTGATACGTTTTTGCGTTCATCTTAAATGGGAACGCTGAAACAAGCCCACGAAGCAGCTCCTCATCTTCGCCAACGAATTTTCAGATAGCGGCGAAGCGTGAAATTAGCGAACCGTTCCATCAGCTAGTACCTCGTGTAAGCTAAATAGCCAGGTGTGTGTTGAGGCGGCTCCGCGCACGGGATATCCAATTGGATGGAGCGGAAGGTAGGAACAATTAAGCGGGGCTAACGAGTATACTATTACCTTAATGAGCTCAGGATTCAAAGATAGGTTTTAATTATTTCGTATAAACAAAAACCGGGTGAGTGTAGCTCGGATTACGAAACGATAAAACGCGAAAATTCTCTCCCGCGCGCGCGCGAGCGGGAACTATCGCTTTGAGGACCTGACTTTGTGGGCACTCCAGTAAATATCGAGTTTACGCGCGCTATTACGATTTTCATACGCACGAGAATCTCGCTTGTCGGACGAACGAATGGAACGCGTCGAGGAAAATCGCGTTTATCCCGCTCACCGCGTTAACGACCGTGTCGTAAACTTGCCGATTTAAGGATATTGCGCGCGAAAATAATGCGCGTTTAAGGCTTAATCGCAGAGAGAGAGAGAG